AGCTGGGGCCCAAGGAGACCTTGCTGCCATGGTCTCTTCTCACTGTGAGGAAGCCATTCACCTCTTTGGGGTGGAATGGGATGGTCATAGCCTGGCAGGGCACAGCTAGGGAGCAAGGAACAATCCCTGCTCCCACAGCCCCATATCAATTACATTGGGTTGCTGTGACATCAAGCTGCAGAGTCTGACCAAAGCTCTTTGGCAAGGCCATACGGTGGCAAAAGGATGTGGTAGTCCCCAGAAAGGAGAGAGCCCCGGGACTTGACCTGTCCTTGGAGAGGGGAAAGGCTGAAAGCAGCTGCAGTGTGGGAGCCAGCGAGAGGCTGAGCCACTGCACTGGCTCATGGGAGGGCTGAAGGCTGTCATGGCTCTGCTCTCAGGAAGGACCGGATCACAGTGCAGGAGAGAGAAGCAGAAGCTCTGAAGCAGAAAGAGCTGGAGCAGGAGGCAAAGAGGATGGCAGAGGAGCGGCGCAAGTACACGCTTAAGGTGCGGAGGGGTGGGCTGGAGGCCGGAGGGGGCAGTCACTGCAGCAAGCTTAGCTTGGACCTCACTGCAGATTGTAGAAGAGGAAGCAAAGAAGGAGCTGGAGGAGAACAAGCGCTCACTGGCAGCACTGGATGCACTTGATACAGATGATGAGAACGATGAGGAGGAGTACGAGGCCTGGAAAGTCCGTGAGCTGAAGCGTATCAAACGAGACCGTGAGGAACGAGAAGCGTAAGTATTGTCTGCTAGACCAAAGGCTTAGAGCCCACAGGCAGTTAAAACACCTTTTCCTCAGGCTGCCCTTTGGCAGCAGGTCCCAGCTGGACTGAATGCCCAGAGCTCCTCCTGCCTGCCCTCAGGGTGCCTTTGCTCCCTAGCAGTAAATGTGTAAGCTCTCAGGAGGCAGCTGGGGACAGCCTCTCTCCCAGGAGATGCTGTGGGGACACAGGGTCTCAGGAGCTTCTCTCCCACCCAGCATGGAGAAGGAGAAGGCAGAGATCGAGCGTATGCGGAACCTGACAGAGGAGGAGCGCCGCGCTGAGCTCCGGGCCAATGGCAAGGTCATCACTAACAAGGCAGTGAAGGGCAAATACAAATTCCTGCAGAAGTACTACCACCGCGGCGCCTTCTTCATGGTGAGTGTGCTTAGGGCCAGGCCTGGCCTCACTGGCTGCACATGTGAGACCACAGGGCCACCTTTTCCCTGTGGGGAGCCTCCCCTCTCCCACGGTGCCCTGGGGCTGGGGGTGCCCTGGGACAAGAACCAACCTTCAGAGGCAGCATGGGGCTGAAGCTGACCCAGAGTAACCTCACCAGAGCATGTCAGGTTAGGAGTTCACAGTTGAAATGGAGCTGAAGCTGCAGAGCTGTCCCTGTGCTGGTGTTCGGGCTGACAGACCCAAGTCAGCTCTGCACGGGCCACTGGAGAAGCAGCCTGGGGAACAATGCTCACATCTCCCACTCCAGCAGGAGTTAATAGGGCTGCAAGTACTGTGGCAGCCCTGGCAGAGCAGCAATATCACCTTCAGGCAGCTTCCCCCACTGCTGCCAAGAATTGCTGGAACCTTTTAGGCTAAGCAGGTGTGTCCTCCTGCAGGATGAAGATGAAGAGGTGTACAAGAGGGACTTCAGTGCTCCGACCCTTGAGGACCACTTCAACAAGACCATCCTGCCCAAAGTCATGCAGGTGCGTGTCATGCTGGCAGAGGGTGCCCAGCCCGGATGCCAGGGGGTGGGCAGGTGGGAGGAGCTGGTCCTGCATCCCCCTGAACAGCTGCTCACAAGCTCCTCTGCTCCCCAGGTCAAGAACTTCGGGCGCTCGGGGCGGACGAAGTACACGCACCTGGTGGACCAGGACACCACCTCCTTTGACTCTGCCTGGGGCCAGGAGAGTGCACAGAACACCAAGTTCTTTAAGCAGAAGGCAGCGGGGGTGCGGGATGTCTTTGAGAGACCCTCGGCCAAGAAACGGAAAACGACCTAAGAGCATGGGCTGGAGGGTCTGGTGTGGCAGCTGCTGGCAGGAGGGCACTGCTCTGCCAGCTGCCAGAGCCTGGGCAGGGCCAGAAGGGACATGTTCCAGGACTCCTGTGGTGGCAAGCCCTTCCCCTGCCTGTACCATGCCTACCCAGATGAGGTGTGCCACTCCCTGTGCTGAGCAGACCCGATGGGTTCCTTGCTCACGCAGTGTGGAAGATGATGGCCTGTGGTGCTGGCCAGGCTGGTGGCCACACTATGTCCCAGCAACGGCCACTGTGGAGCCCTGGCAGTGTCTGGCACGTTGCAGCACCACCCCTGGCTTCAGCACATCCACTTCTGGAAGAGTTACAGGACTTCTACACCTCTCTGGTCTACAGCCCCTTGCTTGTACTGTCCCAGTTGTCAGTCTGGGCCCTGTTTTGAGCTGGTCATTGGTGACCCTATCTCCTCACCATGGTCCTGCAGGGCTTGGCTTTTCTACCTGTGTGGGGTGGGAGGGTTTGATTAAAGATTGGATTTTCTTACACACTCTGGCCCCATTTTTCTTAAAGACACGGCTGTCCTGTTCTAGTGCCTTCCTTGTGAGCCATGGTGAGCTGGGGCAGCACAGGAGGCACCAGCCTGGGCAGGTCATGCACGATCAGCTGTCACCACTGCCTCAGGCCTGTGCCTGGGCCTGTCCAGTCTGTACTGTCCCGGGGCAGAGATTAAAAGAGGGGAAAGCAACACGTCTCACTGCTCAGGCAGGTCACTTTGTCCTGCTCTTGTCATGGGGGTGCCCAGCTGGCACTGCCAACACAATGCCACATGACTGGGCCCCAGTTGTGGGTACCATGCACTCAGGGCCAGGGATGTGTGCTCAGCACTGTGTAGACTACAAAGACAGCCCAGTCCCACCAGTGCCTTTATTGGTATGGCAAGAGGCCCATGCCTGGCAGCCCACGGCCCCCCAGCTCAGTTGGTGAGGGTGATGAGAGCCTCCACCACGTTGCCCATGTGCTCACGCAGGCTGCGCTCTGCTGCGGCCCGTGATATTTCCATCTCTGTCATCTGCAGAAAAACACGCACAGCCCCGTACAGCACCCGCAGGGCCCTGGGGGACACCCACCCATGGGGACACTGGACTGGCCTCAGGGCAGGATGCCCCGGCCTCCTCCATGGGTGCACCCAAATCTGGGATATGTCACAGCCTGCTCGGGGTCCCGCCCCTACTCACAATCAGCTCTAGGTCCTCCTTCTTGATGGTCACTTTTGCCAGTTCTTTCTCCCTACGACAAGAGATGGACAAACCTCCGGTGACCAACAGTCCCCGCTGGCCCCTGCCCCGCTGCTCCGTCGCCGTCAGGTGGGCAGGAGCGACCCCTCGCAGCAGCGTGGGGCTGGGAGGGGCCGGGGAAGGGCCGGGATGTCACACAGGGAAGCGGATGCCTGGGTCGTGTCCCGAGTGGTGACAAGTTGCAAGACAGGCACTGCCCCGGAGCGAGCGCGGACGGTTACCTCTCCTGCTTGGCTTTCTGCTCCCGGGACCTCCGGTCTCCGATCACCGACATAGCCTGCCAGAACGAGCGCGGTCACCCCGATGCGCGGCACCAGGCGGGTCAGCGCCACGCCGGCGGCACGGCCACCGGCACCGGCACCGGGACGGGCGTGCAGGCGCGGCTGTCAGCGCCCGGCTCGGCCCCGCTGCAGGCAGCGCCCGGCCTCCCACCCTGGCCCGGTCCCGTCCCGCCGCCGCACCGTCTCCAGGTTGGAGCTCTGGATCTCCTTCTCCTCCGCGTAGTCCGTGACGCGCTCCAGGTCCGCCGCGCCGCTATCGTGCTTCCGCGGCTTCTCGGCCGCGCGCCCGCCCGCCCCATCGCTGCCGCCGCCGGAGCCGTTCGGCTCCGTCTCCAGCTCCAGCTCCACATCGCCCTCCGCCGCCATGCCGCCGCCGCCGCGGCCCGCTTCCGGTCACGTGCGCCGCCAGCGGGGGCGGCGAGCGGCGCGCGCCGCCAGAACCGAGCGCGGACGAGGCCGGCTCCAGGCCCGGCCCCGCCGAGCGGGCACTCTCGGTCAGCGCTCCCCGGCGCTCTCGGGGCTCCGCGCAGCTCGCAGCTGGCAGTGCCGGCACTCCGGGCCGCTCGCTAGCAGCGGGCCAACGGCGCTGCCGAGGCGCGGAGGCGGCCGGGCGGGCGCGGCCCCGCCGCTACCCGCGAGTGCCCCCTGGCGGCGCACCGGCACTGCCGGGTCAGCCAGCCCGACATGGCCGCCGCCGCCGCCGCCATACGGACGGGCGGACGGGGCAGCCGCGGCGGCGGCCTGGCCGGCTCCACGGGCGCTGCCGGAGGCGAGAGGCGGCCGGGCTGTGGCTGTGCTTCCCCGTGCCCCGGTGCCGGGCCGTCGGAGGCCGTACCGCAGGGCGGCCCCGGCTGCCGCGGGCACGGGCGGGCCCGCCCCGGCCGCTCCCTTGGCGCACGCGGCTCACATGTCACCCCCCCGGCCGTGGGGACACCGCGGGCCGGGCCGGGCCCCGCGCTGTATGCGCTAGCGGAGATCTGTGTGATCGCCGCTGCAGCCGCGGCCCCGCCATCCGCCGTGTCTCAGGGCTCTGCCAGCACAAAGCCTGAGTGGCTGTGGAGCAGCTGAAGAAAGGTGACGCCAGCCCCAGCGTAGAGCCCCTGCATCCCCTTGCTTGTCCCCAGCTCCTGCCGACCCTGGGCCATCCTGCTAGCCGCTGGATGCGCTTCACGCCGTCCCGCTACCCAGCGAGGTACCTGTGTCCCTTGGGTGCCCGGGGCTCCCCCCTCCAGTAAACTCCGCATGCCCCAGCCCCTCCACGCAGCTGTATGGTACCGCTCTGGGATCAGGGAGACATCATGTGCAGAACACAGGTGCCCCTCACGCAAGCTCATGTCCAGGCCACCTGCCAGGGCCTTGTCCTGACCAAGGATGGCCGGGCTCTGGGCAGGGATGCCCAAGGCCAGGAGTCACTGGACAGTGCCCATTGAGCAGGCCAGGGGTGGTTGCCTGGAGGGAACAGCGAGCAGATGGCAGGGCGGGCCGAGCTGACAATCCCCTAATCCCATCAACGCCGCGGGGGCTGAGCAGAGCCGAGCTGGGCCATGGCGGGCACAGCGGCACGGGGGCACCTCCTGCACCCGCTGCTTTTCCAGGTGGGACTTGGGGTCCGGCGGGGCTGGGAGCGGACTGGGAGCGAGGCTGGGTGGGCAGGGTGTGCTGGGCCGGGCTGGGGAGCAGTGCTGGTCCCCTGGGATCCCCGCTGACCATGCCCCTCCCCAGCTCTGCTGCGGTTGTCACGGGCTCCGCGTGTCCACGAGCACGCGTATCCTCTACACGCTCCTGCACGTCCTGGCCTCTGCTGTGTGCTGCCTCATGCTGTCCCGCACTGTGGCCCAGGCTATCACAGAGAAGGTGAGAGAGGGAACCGGGACACCCAGGGTACCAGGAGTATTGGGGGTCCCAAGGGTACCATGTATTCTGGGGGTACTGGGGTGCCAGGCACATCAAGACACCCAGGGGAGCACTGGGCATGCCAGAATTGCCATGGGCATCAGGAGTACTGGATTCTGAGGATACTGGGATGGTGGGATAGTGACAGGGCTGCTGGGAGTGCCAAGGTGCTGGAGGTCCCGAGCGGGAAGGGGTGCCAGGGGTACCAGAGATGCAGGATTTGCCTGGCATGCTGGGGGTCCCAGCAGTCCCAGAGTACTGAGAAAAGTACTGGGAATGGTGGGAATATTGAAAGTTTGGATGTGCTGGATGCCATGGGCACTGGGGGATGGTGGGTGGACACACCAGCAGCCCTGTCCCATCAACCACCGTGTCTGCCAGGTGCCCTTCTCAGTGGTGCTGTGCCAACACCTGCCTGGGGGCACAAACTGCGAGCAGCTGGTGGGCTCCTCGGCCGTGTACCGGGTCTGTTTTGGCACTGCCTGCTTCCACCTGGCACAGGCTGCCCTGCTGCTCAACGTGCGCTCCAGCTCTGACTGCCGTGCGCAGCTCCACAATGGGTGAGGATGGGCCATGGGGCTGGGACAGGGTGTCCTAGGATGGGGCTGCCCTGGGGTGGGGCTGCCAGGGGCTCTGTCCTACTGACATTACCTGCCCTGCAGGTACTGGCTCCTGAAGCTTCTGGTGCTGGTGGGCCTCTGGGCCGCAAGCTTCTTCATCCCTGAGGACAACTTCATCCAAGGTGTGCCCCCACCCTACCTGAGCTGGTATCCTGGGCAGCCCTTTTGTGCCCCACTTGCCCTGTGCCATCTCTACCTCTGCCCTCTTCCCCCAGCCTGGCACTACACAGGTGTCTGTGGGGGCTTCGCCTTCATCCTCATCCAGCTGGTGCTGATCACAGCCTTTGCACACACCTGGAACAAGAACTGGTGAGTGCTGGGGTGCCGGGTGGGTACCTGTCCCCTGCCACTGCTCATCCACTTTTCTGCAGGCTGACAGGAGCTGCGCAGGACAAGCGCTGGTATCTGGCTGTGCTGTTGGCCACGGCCACCTTCTACACCCTTGCCTCTGCCGCCTTCTCCTTCCTCTACAAGTTCTACACCCACCCAGCCGCCTGCCACCTCAACAAAGCACTGCTTGCCATCAATGGCAGCCTCTGTGGCATCATGTCCTTCATCTCCATCACACCGTGTGTGCGGCTTAGTGAGTACCATACAGCACAGCGTGCTGGGGGCTGCCATGCTGCATGGCCAGCTGGGTCCTGTGCTGACTGTGGGCCCCAGCTCAGGGCCAGCACTGGGGCACTGGAGGAGAACCCACTTCTGGGTTCCTGGCCCTTCCTTTACCTTGGCACAAGGCGCTGGATGGGCGAGTGGCAGGAGGGGACTGCCCAAGGCCCCCTCAGAGCCCCACCCACCAGCTCATGTTACTCCAGGAACTCCAGTAACACCTCTATCCGCACTCTTGCAGAGCAGCCGCGGTCAGGGCTGCTGCAGTCCTCAATCATCAGCTGCTATGTGATGTACCTCACCTTCTCTGCACTGTCCAGCCGCCCCCCAGAGAGAGGTGGGTGTCCCTGTCCACCACCAGCAGTCCCCACCGTGATGCACGCCCTTCTCACCTCCACCTCCCTGCAGTGCTGTACAAGGGGCAGAACCTCACTGTCTGCTTCCCGGGGGTTGGGCAGGATGAGCTGCAGACAGAGGACACCACCGTCGCCGTGCTGGGTGCTGCTATCATGTACGCCTGCGTGCTCTTCGCATGGTGCGTGCTCCCTGCCCAGGCACAGCCGGGCTGCCAGGGCTGTCCTGAGGGGTGGCAGGGCAAGAGCAGGTGGGGCATTGGTGGGTGGGCAGGGGCAGCACAGCAGAGCTCCTGTGGCCGTTGGGAATCCATGGGGCAGGCTGGGAGCCTAGCACAGCGTGATGGGTGCCTGTGTTATGATTTCTGCCTCTCTCCTGGGCACAGCAATGAAGCCTCGTACCTCGCTGAGGTCTTTGGGCCCCTCTGGATGGTCAAAGTCTACAGCTTTGAGTTTAAAGTGAGTATGGATGCAGCTGTGCTCCACATCCTCCTGCTAAGGGCACCCCAGACCCACCACCTCAAGGCCGTGTCCCAGCCCCAGAGAGGGGCAGGTCTGTCTAGCAAAGCACAGAGGGCTGCCCACACCACCTGCCCTGGCATCAGGCAGGGCTCAGCCTGGCCATGCTGGCCACGGGGCTGGGCAGTCAGCACTCTGCTCTCTCTGCAGAAACCTTCCTGTTGTTTCTGCTGCCCTGAGAAGATGGAGGAGGAGCTGAGAGGTGAGTGCAGTGTCTGTGTGGGAGTGGACAGAGCCTGTGTCCCAGCCTGGGAGTGCCATGTCCCCACACTCCCGCAGGCACTGACCAGACGTGTGAGCAAGTAGAGGAGAGTGCCAGAGGACAGTTCATCATCGAGGATGAGCAGGACCGGGTGGTCTACAGCTACTCAGCTTTCCACTTTGTCTTCTTCCTTGCCTCACTCTATGTTATGATGACACTCACCAACTGGTTCAGGTAGGGCTCTGTGCTGCTGCCCAGCCCTCCCTGCTCTCACTCCAAACCTCTGTGCCGGGCTGTGACGGTATCACCGAGCTGGCACCTGCTGGCGATGCTCAGGGCTCTGTGCCCGCAGACCTGCACTGCTCCAGTGGCAGCTGTGCAGCGCAGCAAGAAGGGCTGGAGGGCCCTTGGAAGGGACATGCCCAGGGGCACGTGGCCACTGGGACACAGGGTGATCTGGTGGCTGCAGCAGGCACTGGAACCCCCTGTGCTGGCATCCTTTGGGTACCCAGCCCTGCCCTCTCCCACCAGCTATGAGAACGCAGTGCTGGAGACCACCTTCACACACGGCAGCTGGTCAACCTTCTGGGTGAAGGTGTCCTCGTGCTGGGCTTGTGTCCTGCTCTACCTGTGGCTGCTGCTGAGCCCCTTCTGCCTCCATGGCTCCCCACAGCACCAACGCAGCAGTACAGGGCCACGCATCGTGCGGCGCCGACGTGCTCCACAGCGCATCAACGTCTCCACATAGCCCCTGCCAGGACCAACTGCGCCCAGGGCTGGTCCCTGCCGTGCCCCGTGCCCTAGCCCTGCTTGGTCCTCCTGGCCTCCCCTGACCCCCTGTCCCAGGAGACAGCAGCACCTGAGAGCTTGAGGGGAACATGGGAGGTGGATGCCAGGGACACTGGCCCCGTGCTGAGCCAGGGCCACCCAAAGGGCCAGAGCCAGCTGGTGGCAGGTGCTCAGCCCGCAGCCTGGTTGCCCTGGCCTCACTGGTGCAGTGGGGGAGCAGGGCTCTGCCTTGGCTGCCACTGCCATGGTGCATTCACTGTAAATACCTGCTTGAATACATTTTTATATAAAACTCTGAACTGAGCCTGTGCCATTGCCCTGCGCAGGCTGCTGCCATGGGGATGGAGAGAGGGGGTGCCAGCTCTGTGAAACACCTCGAGTCAGCAGCATTGCTGCAAGTCCCCACAGAACCTGACCCAGATGAGGGGTTCTGCAGGCAGCGCAGGCTGTCCTCTGGGGAAACAATGCCTTGCTCACGCCTGCTGCAAGCACAGGCCACTGGGCAGCCTGCCACAGCACTGGCATGGACCTCTGGGCCAGCCCCAGAGAGCCCCATGCCACCCTTCTGTCCTGCAGTTGAGGAGTCACAGCCATTGATGCTGGTGGGGAACAAGACGGAGCTGTGGCCTGGCAGAGGGGGGGCACACAGACCAGAGGCAGCTGGCCATGGCGAGCAGCAGCTCCTCAGGGCTCCCGGGGTAACCAGGGCCCCGCTGCCAGCCCCAGCCTCCGGGCTGCCTGCCCTGCGAGACCAGCGCCAAGGACGGCACCAGCGCGGTGGAAGGCGGCGCTGCATCTGGCTCGGCGAGGAACCCCGGCTGCCGCGGGACCCGTCGCCGTGCTGCCGGATCGCGCTGACGCCACTATTATGGCCCTGCGGGGAGGTGAAAAGGCTGATCGGCACCGGCCTCAGCACTGGGCTGGACCCCGTCGCCAGGCGCACGGCTCCGCGCTGCTGCCGGACGGGCAGCCACAGCTGGGCCCGCCCCGGCCGTGCCGCAGCGCGGCTCTCCCCCGGTGCGCAGGCCCGGCCGCCATCTCTCCACCGCCGCCCTCCGAGCGGCCCGGAGCCCCGGCTGCGCCCCGGCGCTGTGCTGGCCCGCTTCGTTCCTCGACGCTGCCAGCTCTCCCACCCGCCCCGGGGCGCTCGGCCCTCAGCCCCGCGCTGAGCCCCGGGTGCTGCCCCAAGGACCGCCGAGGCCCGACCCCACCTTTGTTCCTCACCGTCAAGATGCCGCCGCTTGACTCCGCCACGGCCGCGCTCGGTCCTTCTCCGCGGACGCGACTGCTCCGCCGGCAATACCCATGCTCACCCACCCCCCGCCCGGCGCACGGACGAGCAGACGCAGCGTGCAGGGCTCCACAGCTACTTTAATAGGGAACGGCGCCGCAGGGCGCGGGGCGATGCCGGGGATCCCGGCGGGACCCGGCCTGAGGCGGCGCGGGGCATCCTGCCGGCGGGACCGGCCCTGGGGCGGCAGCCCGGCGCGGCCGCCCGCTACTTGTTGCCCTCCTTCTTCTCATCGGCCTTCTTCTGCTTCTGCTGCATGATCTCCGAGTCCCTGCGGGGAGCGCGGCGGGGCTGGCGGCGGGGCCGGCACCGCCGCGGGGCGGGAGCAGGGAGCGGGGCAGGGGAAGCCGGCGGGCCGGCCCGGCGCTCACCTCTGCTTGCGGGCGGCAGCCGAGAGCCCGTCGTCCCGCCGCTTGCCCTTGCCCGAGTCGCTCTGCTTCTTCAGGTTCTTCTGCCGCGCCAGTTCGCGCTGGTTCCCGCCTGCCACAGCGCGGCCGCCTCAGCGCAGCCCAGCCGCGCTTACGGGCCGCGCCGCCACCCCCCATACCCGGCCCGACCACTGCCCGCAGGCCGGGTCCCGGCGCGCCGGCGGATCAGGGCATGGCCCCTAACCCCAGCCCCGCCGCACTCCCCAGGTCCCAGAGCAGCCTCCCACCACACTCGTGAGCCGCAGCCCCCTTTTCCTCCCTGCCTTCCCCCCCAACTCACGGGTCATGGCGCCGCTCCCTCCCACCTCCACTCCACCGCCACGTCCCGCACTGACCCCCCCCGCGCCCCGCCCCGCGCCGCGCTTTAAGGGATGCCACAGCCAATCACTGCGCCGATCCACCCCCCGCTGCACTCCCATTGGCGCGTCTCTCCGCCAAGGCCCCGCCTGATTGGCCGCGGGCTATGGCCTCCCTTCTGCCGGCGGGGGCGAAAAAACCGGAAGGTTGGGCGCACGCGCCGCAGCCGCCTCCGCGCGACAGGATACAGGCGGGGGGAACCGCCCCCTGCTGTGACGTCACGAGCGGGAGCACCGCCTGCGGGGAGAGCGGTGCGGAACGGGGGGCGGGCGCCTTCCCGCCCCTCCCGCAGCCCTCCCCGCCCCAGGGAGTGTGGGGCGATGTGGGGAGGAAGGTACGAGAGCTCTTCTATCTCCTTAGTCAGGCTCTAGGGCGCTGCGGAGCCGCTCAGATAGCTCCTTCCGCCGAGGGCGGTGGGGGGGATCTATAGGGAGAGACGTCTGTAAGTGCTATCCGCGCCAACCGGGTGCGGGACGGGTATCCGTCTCTGCACAGCCCACGTCGCCTACGCACGCGGGGCTCAGCGGCGGCATCAGGTCGTGGCGGGGATTCTGCGGGCTGGTGCTGGATGGAGGGCTCTGGCGCTTCGCCAGCCGTGAGAGCTCGGTGTGGATCACCTGCGGACAAGGGGCGGTGCGGTGGGACACCCGGCCCACCGACTCCCGCGGGATCCTCTTCCTCCCCGTCGCTCCTAGTACCAGGTGCTGTGGGACCACCGCCCGCCCTCGCACCCTGCCTCCCACACCTTGCTGGCCGGGTCCAGCTCCAGGGCTCTTTTCAGGACGAGCGCCGCCTCTGCGTCCCGGCCCTGCTCTGCCAGCAGCTGCGGGGAGAGGAGCGGAGGGTGGCTGGACGGCCCGGCCGAGCGGAGCGGGGCGGTGCGGGGCGCTGCGAGTCCCACCTGCCCGCGCCGCAGCAACGCCCGACCGTTGTCAGGGCAGATCCGCAGGGCCGCCTCGCAGGCTGCCAGCGCCTCCTCCGTCCGCCCCAGCTTCAGCTCGGCAGCCGCGCAGTTGTTGAGGCACTTCACGCGCTGCTCCCGCAGCTCCTCTTCCTCCTCGGGCCCGGGTGGAGCTGCGGGGCGAGTGGCGATCTCAGCGCTCCAGCCCCGCAGCCCAGGGCCCTCCCTCCCGCCCGGTCTCACCGGCGGCGGGGCCGTCCAGGGCGCGCAGGGACAGCCGGTACGATCGCAGCGCCGCGGCGAAGTCACCCCGCGCGAAGTGGAAGTTGCCCCGCTCCCGGCGCTGCGAGCCCAGGCGCAGGCGGACAGCGGGCGGCAGCGGCTGCGGGTCGGGGCCATCCCGCACCTCTAGCAGCGTCACCTCGAACAGCAGCGGCGCCTCGGGCGGCACGTCGGGCTCCCTGCTGGTACAGCGCCGGCTACCCGCGACCCCCGCCCGCCCCGGTCCCCTGCCCTGCCGGCCCCACCGGCTCTCCTCCTCCTTTCCCCGCCTGTCCCTCTTGTCCGCCCGCCCCGTCCGTCTGCTCTCCCGCCCCCTGCCTGCTCCAGTCCCCGCCTACTCGTTCCCCCTCCCGTCCGCCCTACCTGCCTGGGCGGCCGTAGGCGTAGGGGAAAGCGGCGAGGAAGAAGGAAACCTCCCCGGGCTGCATGGTGGGGACGCCCAGCTCCAGAGCCTGTGGACGAGCACGGCGGGGCTGGCGGGTCGGAGCCCAGGGCGGCGCTGAGCCCGCACGGCACTGAACCGCGCACCGGTTCGGGCTCACCTCCACGACGTCCCCGTGACCCGGCACGAAGATGAGCCGCGGGTCCCGCTCCACCAGCCCGCCGTCCTCCAGGGCGCCCAGCACCTTCACCGACACCTCCTGGCCCGGCAACGGCCGCGGCCCGCCCGGCCCGGCCCGCACCACGCGCTTCCGCAGCAGCCGGTCCTCTGCAGGGGAGGAGGCGCTGAGAGCCGAGCCGGGAGTCCCGAAATTGGCACTCCCTGCTCCACTCTCCCCGGTACCGGCCGTCCTAGCCTGGGCCGCCGGCCCGGCTGGCCCTGAGGCCACCCGTCGGCGCTCACCCGTCAAGTCGCTCCAGCCGTCGGAAGCGAAAAGCGGCCCGAAGCCGCCGGGCCCCGGCACTGCCAGAGCCTCCAGCCGCCGGTAGAAGAGCTGCTCCTCCTCGCGCACCGACGGCACCGCGATGGCGGTGTGAGGCAGCCGGAACCGCACCCGCCGGTCCCGGCCAGGCCCCCGCGGCCGCCCGCCGGCCCCTGCTTCCCTCTCCGGGGAGCCGCCGGGCGACGGGCCCGGCATGTCCGCCCTCGGCCCTCCTCACCACCCGCAGCTACCTGCTGGCCTCGGTCCGGGCCCGCCCGGGGCTCGGCGGCGGGTGCCCACGGCCCCCAGCCCGCACCGGGAGTGTCTCTGCCGGTCCCGCCGCGCCGCGACTGCCGGGGGTTGCCCGGGCCGGGGACACCGCGGAGCGCATGCTGCCGCGCCGTTACCTAATGCCGGGAAGCCGCTCAGGGGATTAGTCCGCGCCGGCGGCAAAAATAGCTGGCCCCGGGCGAGCCCCGCCACAGGGCTCCCGCCGCCCGCCCCTGCCCCTCGGGACCGCCCGCCCGCCGCCGCCGCGCCTTCCAGGCAATGCCGTGGCCGAGCGTCTCCGGTATCGAGGCTGCGGGCCGGGTCTCTGGCATTCCCTGCTCGGGGGGAATGTGTTACTTTGGGTGGTGTCTTCTCCTTTTCACACGCCCAGCTCTTCACGCAGGCCTCACTGAAAGGTCTGCAGCCATCCTGTTTGCCAAGTATTCCAGGCAGCAAATACACAAATCCTTCATCAGATGCCTTTTTCTCCTCACTTTGAAGCTCAGTACCTTCAGTGCACTTGCAGGACAGCGAGGGACATCTGGGCAGCCACCAGCACAGCGCTTCCTCATCCTCTGTCCATCCTGCCAGAAAGTTTCCCCAGGCCTGTGCTAACTTCACCCAGGCTGCTCTGAGCACCAGCAGTGATACTATGGGCCAAACATGCTGACAAGTTTTACCTGTGTTCAGTGCCTCAGTGGCCACCAGGGCAACAGTCACAGAGCAGGAGCAAGGCCAGGATTAGAACCACTTTCCCGGTTCTCCTTGGCTTGATAGAGAGCACTGTCCTGCCCACCAAGGAAGCAGCACTCCAGTTTGGTGTTACATGGGTAATTGTCAGATGTCAGTGGAGCTGACTACTCCTGCACCAGCTTCAAAGCAGATTTATTGCTGCTGCTGAGTGAGGCCCTTGCCAGCCTGCTCTGTGTGCCTGCACTGCTGCAATCCCACAGTCACAGTGTGCACCATGTACCTCTAAACTCACCAGGGCAGCACACAGCAAAGGCACTTGTGACCACAGCTCCCCAATCCAAAATGCGTGTAAAGGCAGCACCTGAAGCCCAACACATTGGGACATCTGTTGCTGCTACATTCTGGAGGGGCTCAGGCAGCTGAGGAAAGAGGATAATGGGCTAAAAGCTAAAGTCAGTGACTAGGAGGGCTCACTGTAGGGAACAACTTGCAGCAGGAAGCTGCTGCCTATGAAGAACAGGATCCCACTGCTAGGTCTGATGGGTTTCCTCAGGACAGGGACACTTGGTCTTAAGGGGGTCATTTTATTGTTTCACTTCTCCAAATGTACAAAAAAAATTAGAAAATAACTGTACCCCCACCCCCTCCCAAACCACAAAACAAACCTGGGGAGCCCCACAACAGTGCAGCTAAGAGACGGCAGAAAATTAAACATTACTAGATACAGCAGCTCGGGCCCCCTCGGCCCGCATGGCCACTGGCTCTCCACAGCCCAGAACTGGCCCCAATCTGACCAGTGCTTCCCCAATTCACACAGAGCTCATTCTGACAAGGTGGCAAGTAGGTACTTTACAAATCCTCCTTCACCTTCTTCTTGGATTTCTTGGATTTCTCTTCCTCCTGCAGCACGGGAGTGTTGGTTGCCTCCCGCTTCAGGTAGCTGATGAAGTCACTCACTTCTCTGCCTCCCTGCAGAAAACAAATGACAGTCAGGCAGGAGCTGTACCCACGATGGACCTACCCTCTCCTGAAGGGGGTTCAGGTGCTCGGAGGGAGACCCTGGTGACTGCAAGCAGAGCTCTCCCCAGGGCCTACAACTCAAAGTACAATGCTCCCAGCAGGTACCATCAGGTGTGTTCCCAGGGAAACAGGACACAGTGCCACCCCCAACTCCAAAGAGGCTTGAGTATAATTAGAACACCGGTATGCTCTTCACTTCTTTACAAAGCATCAAGAACAGCAAAATACTCGCCTCATACTTCTTTGGACTCTGCTTCTTGCCAGCTGGAGCAAAATAGATGGTGGGGAAACTGGAGAGAGAAGAAACACATGAGCTCCTGAGATGCCTTGATTTCCATCAGACCAGCCCCAACTGAAGGGACTCACACCCCACACTGCCCTGGATTAACATGGCACAGCTTCAGTGGCTCTGAGGCACCAGGTGTGGCCTTCAAGAGCCCAGCAGATCTGGATGAGCTCACAGGTTCAAGTTTGCTAGCTAAACTGCTTTTGGAATAGCGAGCTCAGATTTGTTTTCACACTGCCAGGAACAGAATCTCAGCAGATTCCAAAGCAGCAGGACAGGCCTCCAGGCAGAGCCAGGACACCAGAATCCTGGAGAAGCCAGGCAGATCAGTGTATTTTGTTTTCACTCTTGATTTCTCCACATCAAGCCATTGCCCAGCAGTCACCTAGCTATTGCCTGGCAACCCCCACACCCTTCCACATGAGGCTCTTTCAGCTCTTCAGTGCTGTGCCTGAAATCAGACAGAGAGGGACTCATGCACTGACACGTGGTGTCACAGCAGTCACACCTACCCTCGGACTTCATAGGGAGAAGGCACATCATTGGCTGTAGCGTCCATTTTGGCAATGATGATATTGGGATCTTTGCTGAGCTGTGGGTAGAAAGAACCCATCAGTAACCAATTCCAAAATCCAGGAACCCAGCAGTCAGCATGATTTGGGACAGTGGTGTCAGAGGACAGTGCATAGGGAATGCCACTTCACCAACCCCCACTACATGGGAGACAATCATCATGCAGAGGGAAAAGATCCAAAAAGAAACTTGGGCAGTTGAGGCCAGTCACGGAATCCTAGAATATTCCTGTGCCCTAGCCAATAACACAGACTAAATATGCCAGTGTGCTTGCTACCACAGATCCTGCTGCAAGATATCTGCACTCTGCAAAGATACCAAAATTTGTAATCCTCAGGAAGGCACAATTACACCCCATTATCACAGAAGCTGGAAACGACCTGCAGGATTATTTAGTGCTGCAAAATTCTAGTTCACGTTTGTAAGAATCTCACACTTACCTTCTCCCCCAATTCTTTGTATTTGGGCTCCAGATTCTTGCAGTGGCCACACCACGGTGCATAGAACTCTATCAGGACATCTTTGTCTTGTGCATTAACTATTTCATCAAAGTTCTCAGCCACCACCACCTGTAAGGGTTGATCACACCAGTTAGTTCCTTCCAAGGCAGAGATGAGGTGATGACATGACATGCTCCACACACTCCACCCAAACCTGGGTCTCCCACACCTGCACAGCAAGCAGCAGAACCAAACACAGCACTCCTCATCTGCACCATGCAGGTAAAAACCTGCTGTAAGTTACCAGCACTACCTCCAAGTGAGGTCTGTATATGGTGTCCTCGCAGGAAGATAAAGCCTTTTCTTTTTAATCCCAGCAAGCAATCAGCAGGACTGGCTGAGGCCATCCCCATCGCCCCAAAAACATCTGTGAATCCCGTGACTCGCACTCCTGTGTAAGGCTCTCATCAAAAAGCCAGGCCAGGGAATGCTCTTACTCAGGGCAGAATTGCCTGGGAGGGTGAAAGGCAGGAATTGTACCAGATCCCAGTGATGAAATAAACAGGGAGATCCCTAAAATAGTGCAGTCACAACCAACAGGAAGACCATGCCATGAAGGACTGAGCATAAGCCAAGAGGGCAGGCCTTTGTGTAAGCCCTGAAAATCTGGATGCTGCTGCACTCACAAAGCACGTAACTGTTGGGGCCAAGCAGCAGTTACTATGCTGAGAGAAAAAAAACAGAACCCAAACTGCAGGCTGCATGTCTCCCTCACCTCAGAAAGCTGCAGTGGAACAAGGGAGTGAGTAATTCCTCTGTCTGTCAGCACAGAGGCCTCTTGAGCTGCCACCATGCCTCACTCCCAGCACTTCACACAGGCACAGGAAGCTGCTGCTGAGCAGTGTCTCTGCAGCCGTGAGCAGCACTCACCTTTACAGGGCCATCGTTGCTTTCAGGGACAGGCTCTGATTTCAG